GATCGCATTGCCGAAATTCGAGTGACGTCACACGGTGGCTTTGTGTTCCACGTGGGGCCACGTGTAGCGAAACGTATCTACGGCGGCCACGGATCGGAGAGGGGAATGACTGATGGGCGACGATGGCCGGTTTTTCGCGAACACCGTGACGACGATGGAAAGGAGGCGGTGACCTCTTTACAGAAAAAAAAAAAAAAAAAAAAAAAAAAATAAAAAAAAAAAAAAAAAAAACAAAATCGTGAGCCGCGTGCCAGTGAACTTACTGGATGTTTATTAATATATGTATATATTATACGCACACGTGGAGCGCGTGCGTTAAATGTTTAGCGAGGAAAAATCTATTCGTCCACGCGTAACGTTCATCTATCCACATCCGCACTACGTTTTCGTCCAACCGTTTTCTGAGCATTTTGGTTCGAACTCTTCGCGAACGTTATTGTGCGGGGGTAGGGTAAGATGTTAGACGGGTGAATTTTATTTATACGAACCGAGATCAATACGAGAAGTAGGCAACGAATCGGTTTTACGCCGATTTCTTTTACGCTGCAGGTACTGTGCAGATGTACACACTTTCACCAAAGGTTTTTGATGGTTTGATACATTGGCTCTGGTTAGCGCAAAAGAGTCGGGAATCGATAGGATCGCAGGGACGGGTACCTGTTAATTAGTGAACTTTTCTTATGAATTTGAAATCAATGTAAATCATCGATTTCGAATAACGATACACGAGTGGAGGACGACGCGTAGATCAGTTTCTACGGACGCAATAGAGTTGGTAAACCAATTTTTAAATATTTTACATTGATTTGATTAATTAAATATTAACGGTTGAAATAATTATTCAATTTATATTTCAAGTCCCGTTTTTAGACAACGGAATAACTAATATTGTTTAATCGAAGTTCGTTGAAATATCAGATTTTGTCTAATCTATAATGCTTACAATAATTATTTGCAATACTCTTGTAAATGTTTTTTATACGACTGCAAACATCTATACAAATAACAATCGCCCATTTATTTGTAATTTTTATCAGTTATTTGGAAAATAGTTAAGGAATTCAAAATATGACCTCTTGAAAGTATTAACTACCTATAGATAACGATTTTTATCAGAAAAAAAATTTGACAAAACAGACAATAAACGCATCATGGTAAAACTAATACATTTCAGGTTTTACTCAAAATCTAAAATCTGAATAAATGTTATAGAAGACGTTAAATTTGAGATTGTTTAAAAATTAAAAATGTTTATAAAGGCAATTATCAATTTGAATTTAGAAACAACGAAATCGAAGACCAGTTTAAAAATAATACAATCAATTACGAAAAATAATGAAATTATTGATTTCTCAATTAATTAGCATCCAAAAAATATAATAAAGTAATTTATGAATAGTAATGTATTTGTAGTGTTGTACTTAGACCATAAAGATTTTCAACAGATTCTAAAGTCTTTACAGCAGGAGTCGGAACATTTCCGTAGGAAAGATCCATTTTTTTTTAAAAAGTTACAATTTTTTTTTTCGTACAAACTACTTTTTTATACAGTCAAAAAAATCTTGATATTGAAACGTATCTTAAAAAATCACATATTACAAGTTGAATAGTTACATGTTACTATAGAGGGTACGTCATATAGGTATAAAATTATATAAAATATGTATAATCAAAGATTAAATAAACTTAAAATGTTGATGTAATAATTGATAAATTAATAATTTTCTACAATTTAGACTGTTGAAGGTTAATATATTGTTTTTTCATGTAGCCGGAAACCAACTGACTGTTGAAAAATAAATTGATTTCATGCCTATACAATAAGTATTTATATTCATAAATGAGTCTTAACTCCACTTTATAATTAAGCGATTCAAAATCCTAATTTATCACAACACCTGGTTAAAACAATAAGTGATTCTAGCATCTCGGAAAAAATATCAATGCTATATGTATATGTAAATTCTAAGAGAAATTAAATTGTTTAACATTGAATAAATAAATTGAAATAATAATGAATTTCTAATAATAAAAGAGAAAAATTTGAAAAAATGAAATAAAATATTACGAATTAACTAATGATAAATTTAATTATTTATACAAGTATAAATATTTATTTTATAATACATATTTTTATACGATAAATAATATTTTTGAAGAAGTAGAATTTTGGACAAGATTTGAACTAATAATCGTTATAATTGATTTTATGTTACTTCAATTTTACTATAAATTTTATGAAGTATACGAGTATAATATTACATAAACTCTAAAATATCATTATAAAATATTAAAATTTAAAAAAAAAATTAGTTGTTACGCTGATTAAAGGTAATTCTATTTAGTTCAAGCATTTTTATGAATTACTATAAGTTGAGTAGAAATTAAAAACTTAAAATATATTCCCGAAACCAGAGGTTATATAATTTTCGAAAATCAACATAAATTAAATAGGTAAATCTTTAATTTTTTAACAGTTCTAGTTTTTCAGATTAATTTATTTTAAGAACTACTTTAAAATTAAAATTGATTGATATAGATTTAATAAAATCATTTTGAAGGTAGTTTTCTATTATACAGACATGTATTGGTTTAATTAAATACTTTTCTAATAATTTTCACTATTGGTGAGAAAATATACGCATTTTTTTAACATTAACAGTCTAATAAATTATTATGCTTGTTTATAATGTTTGTTTACCGACCTTACCTCTTTTCATTGGCGTCATGTTTCACTCAAAATGAAAACCGCTCTTAGTATTATGACTTATATATATCTATTATCTGTATTTGTTTATTCTAATGTTTTCCTAGAAAATACTTACTCAAATATACTTACAAGGAAAATAATCGATATAGACCTATTTCGGTTTCTATTATGACTGTAGATAATATTTTATTTACAAATGGATTTAAGACTAATAGTTTTCATGGCATCTTCTATCAATCAGTACCTCATAATCAGGGCTCGTAAGTACATACATTAGCATGTTTTCTTTTTCTTCAATCGGAAAACATGCTAAGTGAGATACATATTCATTTCATAACAATGGTAATAAAAATATAAAGTTAACTAGTGTATGTTTTGTGTGTATTGGCATATTTGACATTTAGTTGATTTTTTGGAGTTATTGGCGTATATTATTTTATGTAAATTCAGCAAAATCGTTTTTCATGGAAATTAAAAAAAATATATATATCAATAAAAGCTTGAATTCATTCTTATTTACTTATTCGAACATGTTTACAAAATATTAGTATTTTTTAAGTATTTTTATTTTTGTATAACGTTGGATTTTATCTCGGGTGTCTATTTTATATTATAATATAATATTATATAATATAATATTATTATATGTCTATATTATGACACCTGTGGATTTTATAAGATGAAAGCAATACCACGGAAACAATATTATTGTGCACCGCTACCAACCTCCTATTGACGAGTACATTGCAATCTATCGATTTATATTCGTCGCAACGTGTGTTCATTAATTATAATCTTAATAAAATTTAATCGAAGAAATAAAATATAATTTTTAAAAATATGAATGGATAATTCTTATTATTTTAAAAATGCTTATACATTATTTCCGTGTATAGTTTAAGATTTTTAATGCATAATCCTATAAATTGCATATACATTTTTTTAGTGTATATTTTAATGCATATTTTATCAAATGTCAGTGCATCATTGCATTATTTATGCATTTTATAGTGCATGAACTTACGAGTTCTGATCATAAGTAATTTAATCAATGACTTCGGTATACAATGTATGTGTGTACTATACTACATAAATATTTAAATAGAGTTATTTTAATATTTATTATTTATCATCAACTATGATATTTTTTTTATTTTTTTTTCATATGGTATAGTTATGATAATATGATAAGAATGTTATGAACTCATAATTACTATAAAAAATTATATGGAAAAATAATGTAACGACTAATTGTTTATTGTTTAATAGTTATTAAAATGAAAAACAATGACCTAACTGTAACCCAGCAGGAATGACGAACCTATGACACACGTCGGTAAATGTAAGTTGCGTCCCAAAAAAAAAGGTTCCGATAACAACATACGTAAGTTGCGGCCTGATATTTCTTAGATACATACGTAAGTTGAGGCCCAATATTTCTCAGGTACATACGTAAGTTGCGGCTCGTGTTTTTGTCGTGTCTATCAGTTACGCCCGACGGAAAATCCGTAAAACTAACATTTATAATGTTTTTATTGATGGCTGGGTAATAACGACTCGTATTAAAAGAGTATATCCGGTTCTCCATCTGCTAAATTTTACTGTAGTAACATTACATACGACAAACACGTATTAGTTCAGTACGAATGCACGTGGAGATTTTTGAAAATGAACGCAATAAACAGTGTATAATAGAATGCAAAGTGAAAAAAATAAATTATTAAAAGTGATTTCTGGTTATAAGTTTCATTTTCGCAAGTTTTTAAAAAATGATGTTGAACATTGGTGTTGCACCGTCAAAACATGTATAATAGTATATTGTCTATGATTATTGCTGAAGAATGTTTTTAATAATATAAAAATAGGTATATTATTTATTAATTCATATTTTTGCACATACTCGTAAACCATTTAAAAATTACTTGAATAACGTTTCGACACTTATGTATTATATATACATTCATCTTGTCATCTCAACATAAAGATTGATCATTACTCATAATAGATAGGCAGCTATCGAGTTATAATGCATATACTGCAAAATGATATTGAATATTTAATTAATTATATAATTATGATAAAAATTATAAGACACGGATTAAAATGTAAACAGAGCATTTATACTTCGTTAAAAAATTAAAAACAACAAATAGTGAAGAAGAAACAAATCAAGTGTTATCAGGTAAAAAAAAAATAAATATTTTGTCCAGGCAACGGAAAATATAGGTATAACCATTGATTAAATAGTTAATCTAAGGTAAAATGTGAAATAAAAAATGTTTAAACATACCAGGACTTGGATTTACTCTGTCAGACGCTGATGTTTGATGGTTTTCTTGATAAAACAAACCACCACATAAGACCGTGGCGGGTGGCATATGCATAGATTGGTCGTCGAAACATTGTATTGTCGGCGGCATTCTATAACAATAGGAACACAGGTATATTTATTTGTGTGCAACGTGCAAAATAGATAAATATATAATATCCGTGTAGTAAAATACAAATACAATTAATTACGAAAACAAAAATATTCCAAATGACATGTGTAGTTATCGTCGTATCTCAAAATTGTATTACAGTGTACGTGTGTGTTGTGTGTCGGATACTATATCCTTTATATAATAATAAAACAGTTTTGGAATCATTGTAGTACCAACACACGATACAGTGTTTTTAAATTTGCTACTACAGCGTAGGACCCGATGCTGAAGATATTAACGAAGTTGTTGGTGCGTAAGAAAAATATACAGCAGGTATACACACCATATGCGAAAATCTCTAGTCAAATTGACCAAAAACGCGATTCGTCGAGGGGACCCTCCTCCAACCCAGTTCGTAGGGCAACCGCCTTGCACAAATATAGTTTTCGGCGAATTGTCTGTGAACGCGATGCGATCGCGATATCATGGAAAACAAAGTATTGCACAAAATAAATTCAACCACTCGACTATGGTACACCGTGAGAAATCGAAAACCGTCACGGGAACGATGGCGATTTCGCGCGTTGACGAACAATACGAGCATTAGATCGACTGCGAGAACAAAACGAACCCAACAGATACCAATTATAATTTTAATAATATTCATATTAATAATAATAGTACTAGGGTGTCGACCAGGGAGTTAGGATCATCTACGCGCACGTGACGACCGAACGGCGAACGGTAGTGGAGCTACAATTTAATACATCGACATTGAACGTAATGTTCTTCACCTACCTTTTGGGCGCGAGGAGCGTTAAGGGAAGAAAAAAAAAAACGTGTAACGGACGACGCTGACGACCACCGGTTCGCGGTTGTGCGACGCGAGCGGTCGGTGCAGAAATTGTTTTTCGTACCGGTCGACGACGACGTCGGGAACGGAAACGGATGTCGGTACGGGTTTTGCGAGCGTCGGGACGTGTGCACTTGTCCGATTTCACGAGACGATTGGCGACGGCCGACGGGACGATCGCGGCCGCCGCGACGTCGTCGTCATAACACTCGGTTGGCGAGAGGAATGGCAAAACAATATATATATATATATGTGTATAACACGTAAACGCGCTCGTGTTTGAATATTCACGCGCGAACCCCCTCTGCCGCACCGTGGGCACACCGAGGTCGCCGGCAGACCGAATGTGCGGTTGCGGCCGTCGGACGGGAGGCGGTGGGGGAGGCAAAATACGCGCGCGTGGACCGCCGCGCTGTACGGAGCACGAGGGCGCACCACCGCTTGCACACGATTCTTACCCCTTCCCCTCCCCCGCAACTGTATCATTATCGGCCGCCCGTGGCAGGCGTATCAGCTGCGGCGGCCGTGTCTTATCACCACCGTGCGTCGTCGGATATCACGACTTCCAGACCAGGAACCGACGAGGTTCGACGGTCCGTCACCTAACGATGTTTACATTTTCCGTCCTTTGACACTGCCGTTGCTTTTCGTTCTTTGACGACCTCGACGTATGTTTCGCGTAGACGCGCGTCGAATTGTTTCACCATTGTTTTTGATGCCTTTCTTACCGGTTCGCCCCTTGTTATTGAGTTTCTACAACAAATCCCCTTCATTGTTCATGGTTCTCTTTTTATCGTCCATAACACAATAACAAAGTGTATTGTTTTTAATTTTCAACTAGTACGTATGTGAGACGTATTATATGGTTATTTACTTGTGTATTCATTTATCTCGTTTAGCAGCTACTTTATATTGCTACTTCAATGAACGCCACAGATGATGAATATTGGAATGAAAAAAGTTTTGAAGGGTTCAGCTTTGAAGATGAGGTAATATTAATCTTCCATTACGATTAATATAATACATTTATACACTATATTTGTTAAATACCAACCATGTAAATTGTAAGCTTCTATTTAATCAATCGTTATTTATCATCTTATTCCTACTTAATATTATGTTTTTAGTTTCTAGATAAATGATTGTATACAAGCAATATAAAAATAATAATGTAAAGTATGCTACTCGCAAATTCAATTTAATCTTTTAAATTTTGTATCTTCATTGTGCTAAAATGTAGATTTTTTGGCTAAGAAAAGGTAAAATTAATAAACTAGCAATCAATGTTTACTTTTTCAGCATGATGGAAACTTTAATTTACATGAATTCTACAAACTACATTTTTTCATATATTATTAAATTTAATGATTATAGGTATGCTTTTGATTCTATCTTTACATAATGATTTGTATTTTGTATATTATAAATTATTTTACCTGTGTGCTTGTATATAAAGTTATATAAACTCATAGGTATAATACTTATATCTCAAAGACTTATTTATTCAAGTATTATTTTATCTTATTTTATTTAGGAAAAGGATTTAAATAGTACAATTAAAAAAATACCACCTGAATGCGAAGGTAATATCATTCATTTAATGTGACAATATTTATTGTTTTTATAAATTAATTTTATATTACAAATATTTTTAATTGAAACAGGTATTCAAATTGGATCTACAAAAACTAAATTAGAAAATATTGAATCATTAGATACAATTCTGCCAAAAGAAATTTTAGATAAAAGTTAGTATTCTTTTATTTTATAATTGTGTTACATCTGTTATGACTAATATACATTTTATATTACAGTATTTATAAAGCGATCTTCAGAGATAAATAAGACATGCACAACTCAAGTAATTACATTTTATTAATATATATTTATAAATGTTATGGCCAAATCAAAAATCCAAGAGCCAAGTGATTACAGAAAAATTAATTATTTTTCTTTTATAAATTTAAATTTGATTCTTATATTATAATATAACTGCTATCTATACTTTATTTTTTTAACTACATAGTTAAAAGATACCATGATTTATTATCAAAGTTATTGAGAACAAATATTAATATATTATTTTATAGTGTACTATAAATATTTTAAGTATCTATTTTTTCAATTGTTTTATCAAAATCACAGTATAAGAAAAATATTGTAACAAAACAATAATATTGTTCTTAATACTTTTTACAATAGGTTTTTGTACGTTATTATTAACTATGTAGTTATAATAAGTGAAGTACAGAGTTTAATTATATTACACTTATGTGATATAGAAGACAAATGATCAATTTCACCATAGCTCCATCCTAATTTTAAATTATATCATTGTTATAGTTGAATAAAAATTTATATTTATATATGAATTTATTACAATAAGAGAATATAACACCCACATAAGTTATTTTTTCTTATAAACCTATAACATTGCAAATTTACATTTAATAGAAAAAATTTAATATTATTAAAGCTAACAACATTAAATTAGTTCTACTCACTACAGATTTGCTATATTATATGTTTGTAAGATGGTAACATATTTTTATTCTTATATTTAAAATATCCTATTCAAATAATAGTTTAAAATTAAATCAAATTTTGAAAAAAATTAAATAAATATTTGAATTTAAGAATTCCCCTTGAAAGAACCAATATTATTTAAATTGGGCACCTAATAATTTGTTTATACCATATATTACTTTTATACTTTGATCTATATTTTTAAAATACAATTATTAAAAATTATTTGTTATAGGAAAAGCAAAAAAATGTGAAATCTACTATAGAAAATATTGTTATGTCATGTACATATACATTAGAGTCATTTCAGAGTTTAGAAGAAAAAATAATGCTGTTACAAGAAGCTTTGTACACTGAAGATGGAAATGCTATATTAACTGTATGGAATCTTAAATATGGCTAAATGTGTAATAATTATATCTATAATTTAATTGTGATTTCAGGTTGTTATATTTTTAACAAATACTTTAAAGAAGAGTATTTTCCACCGTATTTTACGAGATAATCCTGTTGCTGCTTCACATTATGTCCACTATTTATATTCAAAACAATGCATTAATGAATTAGTTGATACTTTAGAGTAGGTTCATATAATTTAATCTAGTAAAGAAAAGTATTAAAAATAATATACATTTTTTATTTATAGAATGTTGGGACGAACAAAAGATGCAATGGTAAGATACAATTATTTAAGATAAAAGGCAGAAAAACAAATGTTTTTCCCAGAGTCTGTGTATGAAAAAAAGTATAAAATGAAATAAACTTAACTAATAAACAATAAAGTTTAAGATACTTATTAACTATATGAAAATAAAATTACTATTACTTATTTAAAGTAGAATATGCAGAGAAACATAGAAATGTAGAGTTTACCTCCTTATATATCATTTTGTAGGATGTATTTTTTTATCATTTTTTTAATTTGTATTTGATAAGCTTAAAAAATCAGTCATTTTATAAATTATGATTAATATTTATAACTAATTTTCATGCATTTTAGATACTAGACTTATTTAATTGTAATCTAATTTTGTTTACTTAAAAGTATAATTTAAAAATATATAATTATAATTAATCAACTTTATTATGTATTACAGATGATGCTTTTTAAATTTGGATGTCGAAATCCACAAAATTGTTTACAAAGATTCAATGTATGTGCCAATCTAGCAGACGATCAATATGATAAACAAATTATTTCCCAACTAATAAATTTAGTTGGTAATTAAATATGATTTATATTAAGACCTTTATTTCATTAGCATAGTATAATTTACATCATTGATTCAGGAAAATATGATATGAAGTGTACACAGTTTGCATCAGTTGTTACTCTGGTATCGGATAAATGCAAGGAACATCAAAATATAAATTCTTGTCGTATGTTGGCTAATGAATTTAATTTAAGTTCTAAACAGTTAGAAGCCACATTATTAATCACTTTTTGTCAACTTCAGAATTGGCTTCATGTGGATGACATGTTTGTCAACAAAGTAATTTTATTTTGTATGTTAGAACTTATATAAAATAGATCAACTGTCAATAGCAAGTAAAAGATTTACATAATTAATTGAACCGTCATTTTAAAATTAAAATCTGTTACTTGTACACCAAAGTATAATTTAAAATGTTTTATACTGTTAACTTTGTTATATTTTTTGAATTTATATTAGATTTTTAAATTAGTTTTACAGACATAATTCTTTAATTATTTGTTTTAATTTTAGAATTGGCTAGGAAAAGATAAGTTAGCCTTATCATTACCTATTGGCGAAACTGTTAAATTGCTACATCATAATGGTGCTCCATCATCTTCATTGACACGATACTTAAAATTGATTAAAGATTCAGATGAACGTTTGGAATTGGCTAAAAAATTCAATTGTCACCATATTATAATCGATGTACTATTAAAAAATATAATCAGCTTTTAAACAATTTATTAAAAAATTCAATATAATGGATATATTTTATTTAAAATTTCAGGATTTCTCATCTAAAAAGGACCGCAGGGGCTTATTAGTATACAAGTCAATGTTACAGAAACAAACAGAAAGCTATTTTTACGCAGATACAATTTTGAAAAGTCCAGTAAGCATAAACTACTTTATTTCACATGATTTTCAGTATATTTGGTATTTTATGCCCATGAAATTTAGTTGTTTATTTATGAATCAAAATTTTGGTGTAATAACATGAATAAAATAGGCAAAAAAATCATCATTTTAGACTAGTGTTTCTCAAACTATTGGTTCTGACCCATTGCTTGATCACTATTTAATCCCAAATCAATTTTCATAGTTTGTGAGAAATTCATGTTTTTTTAAATGGCATTAATTATAAATAGTATATTGAATTATAGAAAATGTACTATTTCTATCACTATAATTTTGCCTTATAGAATTATTTCCTAAATATTTCAAAATCCAAAATTATGAATACTGTGCTGCATTAAATGAGTATGTTGCATATGTCAAACAAACGGGCTCAAAGCCTCAGCTTATAATGAGGCCTAATGATAAAAATTGAAAAATATGTAGAAAGGACGAAAATAAAATAATTTTGTTATAATAATTATTAATAGAGATTGAACAATAATTGATCAGTTTTGTTTTCTACAATATTTCTTTTGTAGTCTGTATAACTGAAATCAAAAATAGGTTGTTTACAATTGATTAAAGGTATGGTTTCCCAGTACCATCTAAGTAAATAGAAGGCATTACTTTTATTTACACATTTGTACAAATTAGTGTAGCTGTGACAATGTATTGAAGTTAAAAATAATTATACTTTTTCAGAACATCAAGTGGAAAAATTAGTACCATTGATTATTTTCCTTATGTGCGAAAACATTTGAACAAACTAAGAAGACTGATTCAGAATATGGTAATTCATGATTCATCAATTGATTTTTTGTGTTCCATCACTGCATATCTAATTTAACATTTAAAAAATTATAAAACTATAAAATAACCTTTGTTACCAAAGTTAAAAGTGTATACTTAAAGTTTGAATTAGTTTAATAAATATAATTATAAATTATTATTATTATTATTATTTTGTTTTGTTATTCTTTACTATAATGGGTATAATGGGAAGTAATTGACTTATGCTTAGTAAAACATAACTGTATAAATTATTAAATGGGTCAGTGAAACCTTATAATAGAAAAATAATTGTTGTTTTACTATGGCTTTTAACGCTCTATTTCATTCCAAAAAGGTTACACTTGCACCTAATATTTAGATTTAGTTGTTTATAGTGCTAATACTTGTTTTGTTCCTTTGAAAGTAAAGTTTATATTTGGTAGTGTTAGTTAATTTTTATGGATATTACTGATGACAAATTCGAAAAACTCGGCTCAGAAGAACCTCGTGATAATGTTGTCATACCTGCAACAACGTATAAAAGAAACATTTTTGGTCGACAAAAAACCTGTATGTTTTGTTTTTTTTAATAATTTTTATATTTTATACACTAAACTGTGTGTTACGGTTTAGTATCGGAGACTTCAATCTACAATCCCATCAACCCACAAAACCAGGATAAAAGTGGAAGTAAGTATATTCATTATGTTCTTCCACTATACATTTTTTTTTTTTTTTAAATTCGTAATTTTATTAAATTGTATTTTCAAAATTTAGAATTTAGTTTGTCGGATAAAACTTTAGATATCATTACTCAATGCTTTTGGCAATGTTCATCCTGTTATCAATGCAATGAAAAGTCTTGAGCATTTAATCAATCAAATCAACACCTAGTATTATATAATGTAAGATATACAGTGTTAATAATTTTGATAAATGTTAAATTGTTATATTCAATTTATTTTTTATTTTTCTTCTGTTAGATGAAATACAAATGTTAAAATACCTCATCAGATATTTGGAGAACATTAAGGTTCATTTGAACATAAGGGTCAAAATACTGCAGAGGTCAATATGTCTTAAATGTGTATATTCTGTATGATAACTCGTAATTTCAAAAATCAATTTTTCTAATTGTTAACTTCTGGCTGTGGTTTGTTTTATGTTATAATATCACTAAATATTAATAAGTCTACTAAATTTTAATTTAAAAAATTATATTACTAAATTATAAATAATATTGTGATAAATATTAAACACAATGTACAGTCTGATTCATCTAAACTGTACATCTATATCCTATTATGTTAATAACCAATAAATGATTAAACATTTTAAGTTTTTGGTACTTGCTTATGATGAATATTAATTTATATGATATTTCAATGTAATTTAATTATTGTTGTATTAAATTAAATACATATTCATTATTTATACATTTAACACTAACAATGAGGTCATAAATGTTTTTTATAAATTAGTTATGCTCAATATTACTATACAATTTTACAGTACTTTTACATTTTTAATGGACATCAAAATATTTTAATATAGTATTATTACTAAATAAAATACTCGGTACTATAACAAATATATATTAAATTTTAATACGGCAAGACTTCAATAAAAGTTAAATATACTACAAAGATTAATTAGACAATATAATTATAATGTAATGTGTATTATAAAATTAACGGTAATATCACAAATAGATTAAATTAATCTATACAATGGAAATATATAACTAATATAAAATTTAAGGTAAAAAAATTATAAAATATACATCAATATAGTTGGTATTTGTTGTAATTATTTGTAACTCTATCCATTCCTACACCATTTTAAGATATGTTATGTACTAAGATTATGAATTATTATTGATCGAAAATAATTAAATTAATTTTTTTCAAACAATTTATAATGTACTAAATTGTATGTGTTTTATTGAACATAGAATAAAATATAATTACTAAGATGTATTTGTTCTAATATCAATTTAATAATAAAATTAACGAATTATATATTTAAATTTGTATAATTTTTTTAAAAAATTATGATATAATTGTATATATTGTAAAATAAAAAATTTAAAAAAAATATTCAAAAAATGTATATATATATCATCACAAAATAGTTTAAATAAGTCTTATTTGTCTAAATTCATTACAGTCGCACCTTATAACCAAAACAATATAAAAATGTATATAATTAACGTTTATTTGTTCAACCATAAACTAAAAATATTTTCTGTTACCAAAAATAAAATCATTTATTCAAGCCATCTAAAATTTAGTTTGTAATTTTAGTAAAAGGAGGCTTCCACCCACCAAATGTTTGTTGTAAGTATTTTGCAATAGCTATGCACAATCTATCTTGATTCTTTCCAGCAACCACCTATAAGACAGCAATTAACAATTAATAAAAACTTGAATAATTAATAACTTAATTTTAACTATAAGATAAACAAGGAGGAGTATAAATTATTTTACCTGAATTCCTAATGGTAAACCATCTTTATTTAGACCAAGTGGCACTTGTGTGACTGGTAACTTTAAAACGTTGAAAATCGCCCAATATGAAAAATTGTATGGATGTAAAAAAGGTTCATAATGACGTTTGACAGTAGTTGGCGATGAAGGAAAAAATAATACACCATCATCACCTAATAAAGTCTAAAACATGAACATTAATATGAATAAAATTATTAAGCGGAATATAATATTATTTTCTTATATATTTATTTTTTATGTCTTAAAATTTGAAGTATTTAATTATTTTAAATATTTTATTAGGTTAATATTAATTTAAATATATTTAATCAAAATATGTGGCAATGAAGAATTAAGATGATAATTATCTAATAGTTGATAACTAAGTTAAAGTAAAATAAAAACATATTTACTGATATTTCATTTGAAAGTTTTTCAGTTTCAGCATTAGCCCAAGTAGAATTTACTTTTGGTAATTCCATATCTATTAATTTCAATATTGCAGCTAAGGTATGATTTGAACTTCCAACAATAAATTTGGGGACTTCTAACCATACAGAAACTCTTTTCTATAATTAAAAAAAAAATAAAAAAAACATCAACATGCAATTATTTTTCAATTTACTTTAAATTAATTACTTGATTATTTCCTAAAGCTGTAGCAAAATCTGTTCCTTCTTCTTTTGTCATCCAGTATCTCCATAAACTATAGCTGTAACGTATACTAGATAATTTGACTTTAAGTGGTGGCAGTTCAGTGATAGAAGTTATTGAATTTAAAACAAGTTCTAAAGCAATTTTTAATTCATCACTAATAGGACTTACTCGTTTATCATTAGGTTCATCAACATAATAATACTTCAAACTTGACAATTCAACCTAAAAATATACTATTATTATTAAATATACAAATTTGTCATAGATGTGGGCAGACTTTTTGTTTATAATATGTAAAGGCCAATATGTTTCTCTCCGTTAGCTTAATTTACCTTATTATTAACATAATTAAAGTATTTTATAATGTTTTGAATTTATAAAATGTAATGTGTTTATAGAATCATATTTTTTAATGTTTCAAAGCATTTTTTAAATCATTGATAATAGAAGATAAAAACAGTCAAGTCGCGATAACTTGAAATTGAAGGAGATAAAAATTTTACTTTGAGATATGTATTATTCAAGATATCTAACTAATTTATAGGGGAAGAATTTCTAGGGGAATAAAACACAATTTGAGTTAACAAATTTTTCGAGTTATAGTAACTCAACTGTATTATCTTTGGTTTTTGTTAAGCTACTAGCTGTTATTAAAGATAAAAATATTTATAATATAAATACAAAAATTAAGTTTTGATTTTTTATTCAAGATTTATATTCTTGAGCTTGAGCATATCTATTTAATGTACTCGATTTACTTCATTAAACTTTCAAAAAAAGTAATTATTCACTAAATTAAATATACATATATTAACCTCTTGACCAATTTTCAATTCTAAAGATTTTTCAGGTCCAATTAATGCTTTAATTGTTGGTATTAAATCTTCAGCATATCTAGTCAGTGGTCCTGCACTGACCATAGTATGTTTTTCTGTTCCTTTTCTAAATGTCATACCTTTTGTATTTATAAGACCTAAAAATAATAAAATAATAGTTGTAGATAAAAATAATTATATGTAACAAAACATCATACTGAAAATGTTGGTAAAATATTTATATAACATACCAACCATAAAGTTAATTTGCAATAAATCAAAAATCATAAATAAACAAATTTAACATAAATTACATTTAGTATTTTTTAAATGTATATTTATCTAGAAAACTCAAATTGTTTTACTCTCTCTTAAGACTTGAGTCATCAAATCTTATTATAATACAATTTATCAGTACACTGAAAATAATTATCAATCAGAAACTTGTGATTGATTTTTGAGTACAGTTGTAATATTTTAAGCATTTTTACCAAAAGTATTTCTGTTAAAGATATAAAATATAAATTACATTATCTATCTGAACATTTATTCCTCTTTATAAATAGTACTTATTTCCAATTTTTGTATTAACTGTGAAACTGTTTTCTATGATTTTGCATATTTTTTATACCTGTTGTCAACTTGTGTCCAAATATACCACAATTGAATGCTGGAATACGTGCAGATCCGCCAATATCTGTTCCTAGACCCAAAGGACTACCACAAGCTGATACTATACAAGCCTAAAAATAAAAAGTGTATTTTTGGATTATTATTGTTTTTATTTTTAATTAAATTTGGTTATATATTGAACATACTTCTCCTCCAGAAGATCCTCCTGCTGAATAATTTGTGTTAAATGGATTATTTGTTTGTCCATAAACTTTATTTCTAGTTTCACACCATAAGTTTAATTCTGGGACATTTGTGACGCCTAAGAGTATAGCACCAGCAGTCTTCAATGATTTAACAACTTCTGCATCTTCATTACACTTTATACCAGTTCTTGATAACAGACCAAAAGTCCAAGCCATTCCATTGGCTCCTGTACTTTCTTTAGATGTAAATGGAACACCAAATAATGGTTTTCCATCAAAAATTAAATTCATTTTATCTTCAGTATCAGCTAATTCAATAAGTTTATCATATTCATCAGCTTCAGATAATGCTTTGTCAAAACGAGTGTCAACTACAGCATTTAAAATTAGGTTCACTTGTTTAATTCTTTTAATAAAACATTCAACAATATGGCGACAAGTGACTTCTCTATTTTTTATCTTGTTGACAATAGTTATACAGCTATCAAGTACCAACTGATCTTCTACTGGAGGCAATATTTTTGGAGGAGTATTTTTGTAGATATAATCAAATATAAATGAAACAATAATGTCATAGATAAATCGAAAAAATGAAATTACATATGATAAACAACTACGTGATATCTTTGATTTTTTTGATATACGATTCTTTTTTATATGTTCTTTTTCCAGCTTTTCCTAATAAATATACATGATATATAAATTAAAATTTTAAATTATTTAAGTATCTATAAATAATATATAGATTTAACTCGAATTGAAATCAAATAATATTAGAGTACAAGAAGTTGGAAATCAAGAAAATATTTTTAAATACTATATCTAATAAATAATATATATATTAAAAATCATAATGGATAAATATTGAACTTAAGATAATTTATTTTATAACAGAATATTTAATTTGATTGTAAATTGTGAATGAGAAATATTTATACAATTATACATAGTACTAACAATAAAAGTACTAAATATAGTACTACAATTATATATAGTACTAACTACAACTCATAATTATACACATAAAAATGTAACTTATTTTGAGAGGTTTAGAATTTTTTTAATAATTATTCTACATAATAATTATTTTTATTAAGTTTTTAAAATAAAATTAACACATTAAATAATTGAAAAACTTTTTTTAGTTTTAAGTAAATCAATTTTTTTCAACAAATAAAAAATTAGTTCAAGTATAAGAAAATTTAACTACACAAGCTAATTTTCAAAAGAAATTTATGTTTTTTTTTTTACCAAATTAAGATCTAAATAAATTATTAAATAAACACATTTATTTTTTCAATATAGCTATCTGTCATCAATACATATTATAGAATTATTTTTAATAGTTATTTCATTAAAAATTATGATACTAGTTTTAAAGACATACTAAGTAGTAAATAACCATTGAGTAATTATGTCATAAGAAAAAATAATTTACACTAGGTATATATAAAACAATAAATAAAAAAAAAATTTAAATAATATAATAAGTTTTTATTTTAATTAACAAAATTTGTAAACTAGAAATATGCAGTATAAAATATGTAAACTTCCAACAAATCATACTTTTAATTCATATAAAATATAGCATATAATCTATATAATAAAATATAGGGTGTAAATTACTTGACCTAAAGTTGCAAAATAGACTTATAAAATATATTAATATGCACCTATATAATTTTCTATTTGTATAGTTGAGATTAATAAATGATCAAATTAAATTATATGATATACAAAATTATAACATTATGATTTCAAAACTAATTGGAAAAGTGACTGGGTTTATTGAAAATACAACACATTATTAGAAGGCAGATAAATACCATGAAGAATTAAAGTTTCGAATAATATAGTATTACACTTAACATAGATACATTGTACAAAATTTTAATAAAAAATAAAAATAAAAAATTAACATTACCTTGTATTTACCACCCATTTCGTATTTGTAGATATAAGACTGTCTTCGTTAAAAATTGGAGCAATTAAAATAAAAAAAAATATGAAATAAACAATAACTACCAATACTTTTGATTTTGAGAAGGGGAAAATATCATTACACCTATATATATACTGTAAGAACCAGTCATTGGGCCTTGAAAATAACGGAATAATAAACAATAATGGTAATTACTAATTGTATAATTACAAACGCAACTAAAAGTATTGCTATTCTTAGTACGATGAAAATTTGAAAGTAAGAACAACAAAAATTCGATATTATGAACTCAAGCTCATAGTATTATCAATTAATATAATGATAATGTGATTATATTATCACTAACTATATTATAACTACCTTTAGATCATATACGATATATGATCTAAGATAACTACGGATGGGCATGAAATCCGAATATTTGAATTATCCGGATATTCAAATCCAGATTCAAGGGCGTATTTGAGTTGAGGCCATGTGGGGAGGGGAAACTAATTTTTCTTCAATACAAACTTAAAAATAATTTACAGTTCATTATAGGGGCGTACCCAAGGTGGAAGAGGGTTAGGATTAGGGTAGAATTGGAAGTAGACATTTTTAAAAATAAATTTACTTGCGGATCGTCTACTGCGGAGTTATATAGAAGAACACGAGTATTCTACCTCCGTACTTGGAGATGGGATAGATTGAAGAGCCCCGATTATGGTATTTAATTAAGAGTTTAAGGTCGAGTTAAGTTTTTTCCCATGACAAAGGGAAGCTGATGAGAATAGGAAAGAAACATAGTCAGCTTTTGCTTTAATGACACTATTAAAAATAAGGAGCAGTACCGATGGCTGTTTCCACCATTGTGTGCCTGTAGAGGATCGAAGAAAGTTAGCCCATAAAGAAATTTTGCCAATCAAGTATTGGAAATGAGGGACCCATCGAAGTTTGGAATTGAGGTGTAAACCAAGATATTTTACGGAGTTGGCCCAGTGAATATGTTGATTGTTAATAAAAACGTTTGTGGTTGTTAAATATCTCCAACGAGTAAAAATCATGTACCGGATTTTTTTAGGAGCTATCAAAAAATGTGAACGAAGAATAGATGAAGAAAGTGTGGAAATAGCTTCATTTAGAACAAAAATAGCTCGGTCAAGTTGTTTTCATTTTCAATTCAAGTTGAAAAGGACAATGTCGTCGGCGTAGATGTAAGAGTTAAAACCCTTGGAAAGAGATGTACTGGCTGATTAAATTCATATAGGTATGCATTAAATAATATGGAGCTGAGGCAACTATCTTGAAGAAGTCCTCTGAAAACTTCGCGCAAATTTGTAGTACCAGAGGGGAAGGAGAAGGTAAGGAAGCGGTGAGAAAAGAGAGATGAGATATAGTTGCAGAATGAGTGTAATATGGATAATTTTGAGAGACGGATAATAAGGGTTGGTATATGAACCAACCCTTATTATGGTATATAAATATTTTTATAATAATAACATATTTTTTCTTAATGAAACCACATTTTTTCATTTTTGCAAAGTATTCAAGCTATTTTGAAAATTAAAATAACTGATTTTTTAAACTCTGTATGAGTATAAAATGTGGTCTTATTTATTATACTTGATTATTTTATTATAAAGCACAAATTTTTTTTTTTTGTAGATGAGGAAATTTTCGGTTTTAACTGACAGCAATGATTTAAGAAACAGTGTGCGCAGGCTGATTGGGCATATGTTTAATGACAGTATACTGGTCAAATACGGACTGTTTGGGTTTAAGAAAAAACAAAGTTTTTCTTCTTTATTGAGCTATTGTCCAATAATAGGTGTGAATGAAGAGTTTTCAACGGTTTTGTGTAGGATTGAGGCGGTCCTGAATTCTCGTCCCCTCACTCCGGCTTCCTCGGACCCTCATGATCTGGAGTGCATCACACCAGGTCATTTTCTGATCGACCAGCCATTGCTTGCCGTACCTCCGCGCTCGTCCGGTGACCTGGAGCGATCTATTGCCAACAGATGGAAGCTACTTGATCAATGCCATCAGGCCTTTTGGCATAGGTGGACCACCGAATATTTACACACTCTCCAGGAGAGCACAAAATGGACGGACAACCGTCCCAATGTTCGGGTTAATGACATGGTACTTTTGCGCGACCTTTTAGTACCGCCGTTGGAGTGGCGATTCAGCCGTATGACCGACCTGGTCCCGGGGCCTGACGGCGTCGTGCGCGTAATCCAGATCTTAACGTCTCGTGGCCTAGTGACACGTCCGGTAGTCAAGGTGTTACCCACCCAATAAATCTGGCGTACTGCGACTGAGATGATCCCACAATCCCTCTATCACCTTTGTTCTTTGGCCACTATAATGTAAATTGTATAAAATAACATGTATTTTTTTTCTTTTTCTTATGTTTAATATTATTAATTTCCATTTGATAACGGTTCGGACCGTGTCATTTGTTGGTTGTTATTTTTTTTTATTATTCTTTTTATTTTGTGTAATACCGATACTGACAACTACCCCTTCACCGACCATGGAAGGCTGGACCAGTACTCTTCCATGGGGGGGGGGGGTATGTTCGAGCTGGTTGTCCAAATATAATATTGTCGACCTTATCTGCGGTTTTCCCCGCGATAACCGCGACCGACAGCGAGCCCCGACGTTGTCACCGTCCGTATTCCTTTTACGGACCCCCGCAGTCGTCGTCGTATGTTCGCCTCCGATATCGCCGATCTATCGTGCGTGTGTGCTGTTTTACTTTGTTTCGTTCACGCTGGTGCGCTTTTTGTTGATTCACGCCGTTTTCTACCTTCCGCGTGATTTTGCTGTGTCGTTGTTTGCTTTGTCTCGTGCGTGTCGTGCTCTGGCCGCCGTACATTTTTGCGGAGTTTTAATATCACCATCGTGTGCGTTGCCGCCGGTCGCCCGTTTCCTTTCGCCGTCGTGCGTGTTTGCCGCCGGTCGGTTGTAGTCGCCGTTGTGCTTGTTTGCCGCTGGTCGGCCCTTCGCCGTCGTGCGTGTTTGCCGCTGGTCGCCATTGCGCCGTTGTGCGTTGTACCGCCGGGCAGTGGTTGAATTGGGGGGGGGACGCAGAGGGTCTGAGCTACTCTTCATTTTTCTTCATATTATAGCGTACCCCTTAATTTAATTCATCAAGGAACGCAAGGGACCCAGCGTCCTTCAACAATTATATGAATATGAATTTGTTTCTTAGAAAAATTAAATAAATATGAAAAAAAATTGGAAACGATTAATACTTTATTTAATTTTTGGTATTAGTTCGTAATCTGTTCATTATTATTAGCACATATGTATATTAGGAACGCAATAATAAAATATATAATAATGTTATATAATTTATGTAACACGTTTCAAGTGTTTCCACTGCGTATTAATTCGTGGTAAAAACTGTTAAATTGCTAAAAATATAACTATTACGAAAACTTCCCTGGGTGTACCGACGATAACGATCCATAGTAAACCACTGACAATAATAATATATTGACTCCGTATTTTGAGAATCCGTCCGTTGTTTTAGTTATCGACGATTAACAAATGGTGATCGTTTTCAAGGAAAATTAAATATTATTTATATTTTATTTGGAAACGAGGTGCGCCACGAATGAGTAATCAGTATTATGTTAGCTTGTCGCGTACTAGCGTATGTAATTTATAAATTGTAATTTTGTTGAAAATAGTAAACACCTCAACCGCACTCCTACAGTCCTACACGTCACGTCAGCAATAAACAAATAAACATGAATAAACGTCAAAAATTGTCCATATCGGACTTTTTCAATAAAAAGAAAAACAATGACCAAGGTAATTAAAACACTTTAATTTAATAATAAATCATAGGCGTGCGCAGATTCCTGTTACCGGTGTACTTTTATTTTTTTTTTGATAATCCACCCTCATAAATCCCGCCTTAAAAAAAAAAATAGATATACAAAACATAAGTAAGTAGAAATAAAATTTATTAGAAAAACTGATGTACAATCTGATTATCAATGAACGTCAGTCCCGGCAATTTTTATTTTTTTGTAATTTGATAAAATTGATAAAAAAAACTTGATTTTCCAAAAAAAATTATTAGCCCTTTTTACTTAAGTACCTAGTACCTACCTAAAAAAAAGTTAATAAATACAGTTAAAAGTTCCTTAAATTTTTTTTGGTCATACATTTTAAAGCAATACATATACATACCTATGATAAAAATAATTATTATTTAACTCTCAGCAAATCTTAGTCCTAAAAATAATGTGACGGGATGAAATAAATTATTTGACTAGTATTAAACTTCAAATATTAAAATTAATGTTGACAAAAAAAAATTAATATACTAATAAAAGAGTAACATTTATAATCTATAAATTTAATATTTACTTTTTGTAGGCAACAGTAAAATACATGAATTATTTTAAATTGAAAGTTAATTGATTAATTAATTTTATCATGTGGCTATATATTTACATTTTAGATTTTAAATTTGCTAGACGTGTTGCTGTGTTGATAGAATTAATACAAATAAATACCTATTAGTATTGTTTATTATTTGTTATAGATATCTGTGTTAATCATTAGATATATTTAATTATTTATATTGTAGATGCATTTAGGGGGTGGGAGGACAGAGTCCACCTTTATTTTTTTTTCCAATTCAACCACTGCCGCCGGGCGTGTTTTGCACCGTCGTCACTGCGTCGCCGTTCGTACGATATATCGTTGTTCGTCGAGTGCCTGCCCGCTCTCGGCAGCAGGAATCTGGCTGCCGTGGTTTGCTGTATTACATTTTATACCCATGTATTTATGTTTATATTATTATCATATTTTCTGTACTATTATTATTATTATTATTATTACTATTATTATTCCGGGCGCTCGATCTTATGTCCAATGTGTTGAATTATGATGAATTATTATACAATTTGGATCAATAACAAACTTGTTATGCTCATTTGTTGGATTTTAAGTGTGAGGTGACCAGTCAAGTTTTCTACCCGATCGAACTAGGTGAAATGTAAATTTTAAATATTTTGAACTATTGAATTATATAAATAATATTTTTATACCTCATTTTTTCCAAATTAATTAATTATTTTAGAAAATAGTTTTTCAGTATCTTTTACTTTCATAAAATATAATTATGTAGCTTGAATAACAATTAAATTGTTCAAGCTAAATACAATAGTTAGGTATTTAAATAAATTACACAAGTTTTTTTTTCCAGATACCATCAGAATGAACATAAAATACAAAAGTATTCCGAAAAAAGATAGACCACTGCCTTGGTATAACATGGCTTTAACATGCACCATTTCGTATCAAGAAGAAATTAATGTCAAAACAAACGTAATTGTAAACGTTATATTTAAAAAATATAAAAAAGAATGATAAAAAATTGAAATGATACCTAACTGTTTAAATATAAAATTTTAATTTAATACCTATATTTTATTTTAAAATAATTTTTACAAATATGGTTTTTAAATACAAGTACATCATTAAATCTAAAACATTCATACATTTTTTTGTGGAAATGTTTAAGGGTTAATATTTTGGTGATATTATGAAAATAATATTATGAGAACATAATATTTTCTACCACAGTAATTTTATCAAAATGTTTTCATAATGTTAAATAATCTTTTAATCATGTTATAATATTCTTAATAGTATTATTATTACAATTTTAACATTGTTTCAACATTGTGATAACATCATTTTGTTGTCTGGGATACTTATAAATTATGAACCTATATAATATATATGTATCTATATAAGTAAGATACTGCTATATAAAATACACAATAATTATTGTTTTAAATAATATATTAATAAATATGTTAATTATTAATGAATATTGAAACTGCCATAATTCATTAATTATTAATTAGTAGTCAAATAAGTATTTTTATCGAATATAGCATAACTCATAGGTTATGGATATGTTATGCATACGTTATAAGTACGCGTACGGGTTCATTATATTATGGTAAAATGCATGTGGCATGTAAGTTTTTTTAAAGGGCTGATTGACGATTTTCAACAGTCGCCTAATGTGTGGTTAACTGAACATTTATTTATTGTTAATAAACCGATGCAACCAGTGGTGTACGTTCAATCTTGCTTTAGGGGGGGGGGCGTTTAACAAAAATAATCGTAAAATATTTTTTTTCGTTGCACAGATAAATAAGATAAATAACTGCTATAAATAGATATTATTTTATACAACTTTTTTACCAATTTACAGTTTACTTTTACATTACAGTAAATTAATAGCAATTGGAATACAAAAGTAGCATTGTTAACAAAACTTTTCAAACATCTATCAATATAATTATTTAATTATCATAACATTTGTATAGTTGTATATTTTAAGTTCAAAACGTAAAAATGAAACTATGAATATATTACATATCATCAATTATAAAACAATTTTGTTTTTTTTTTGTTTTTTGGTCCTGGAAGGGGTTTGAACTCGTATTAACCAATATGGCGGTTAGTAATTGATTCAATACTGTTCAATCGATACCACTATTTTCTTATCGATATAAGTATCGAAATCATGCTAACGAATACAAAAAGTACTTGTATCGAAAGAAAAGAACAAGGCCGTAACGTCACACATGGTATGCCAGAACTTGCGTCTTATTCCCTCTACAAATGATTTTACAATTTTTTTTATTTCTTCAACGACTAAAATGTCAAATCTTCAGCATAATGACAACTTGAGATAATTTATGTAAATATTAAACTTTATCTTCCATTTAAAATAAGAATATTAATATATATATTTGTTATACCATACAAGATAAAAAATACCATTAAATAATTTTATATCCTCCTAGAACCATGTACAGCAATTACTGATCAATAATCTTTTTCAGAAATGCTCCTGTGCAGAGTGTCTTTGATGCAGTGATTTAGCATTTGGCAAGTAGTGCTGCATTAAGTAACCAGAGTGATCCAGCAGTAGCTATTATAAAGGATTAAAATATTATTTGATTATTAAATGAGAGTAATAATACAAAGATAATAAATTTATTTAAAATTTGTAAACTTGATTTATGAATAATTAAATATAAAGCATAAATTTAATTATTTTATTACATTTTTATAATATTTTAAGTAAATTACAAAATTATCATACTCAAACCATTTAAAATGCAAAAGGTAAAAACTGAAAGGGAATGTTCAGCTCCGGGAGGAATTTTAATTTAGGTAGATGAAAAAAAAAAAAAATGAATGAATTAAAATTTGAAATAAAATTAGATAAATTAATTTGATTTGAATTATATTTTATAATGATGAACACAATTTATTAAGAGTTAAAATTATAAGTTAATTTCAGTCATATGATTCAAAAGTTTGAAGATACTCTATGTAAATAAAAAGAATTTGAGTTTTATACAATTAAATATTTAAA